ATTGTATTCAGATCATCTGTATCAAGGTGAATTGATTTAAGAACCTCAAGAATCGTCCCACGTGACGAATTAATGATGAAAGCGGTCGGGAAGAAGCACCAATCAACTCCTACTCTTCGTTAGAAACTATGCGAATACCAAATACAAGGCCGAAGAGCCAACCAAGTTAGAGGGCTAGTGATACCGATAATTTAAGTTCTTGCCAAATACAACTAAAAATTTGCTTCACTCAAGTATTAATAAAAATAAAAATAATGAAAGACTGAAAGAAAGGCGATATCATTAAACAAGACTTTATTTTTACTATTGTTGACCTAATACAAGGCTTAAGAGCCCCTCATGTTAGCGGGCTATTGATACCGATAATTTTTTTTTTAAGATTTTGCTAGAAAAAAAAAAAAAAACTAAAATTCCTCATCATTCAAATATTAGGAAATTAATGAAAATAATAAAAGCGGTATGTATTTAAAAAGCGATATATTATTTATGTTATTCGGACTATTGTCATCATCTTTGTCGCCATATTTATTACAACGTTTCGGCCTGTCTGTATCTGTCTGTACTTCTGAGATGAGGTATTATGTACATTATTTACATAATTCTGACTATTGTCCTCATCTTTGTCGCCATATTTATTACAACGTTTCGCCCCTTCTTTATCTGTCTGTACTTCTGAGATGAGGTATTATGTACATTATTTACATAATTCTGACTATTGTCCTCATCTTTGTCGCCATATTTATTACAACGTTTCGCCCCTTCTTTATCTGTCTATATTTCTGAGATGAGTTATTATGTACATTATTTACATTATTTGGACTATTGTCCTCATCTTTGTCGCCATATTTATTACAACGTTTCGGCTTTTCAGTATCTGTCTATATTCTGAGATGAGGTATTATATAAACTATTTACATTATTCGGACTATTGTCCTCATGAGGTATTATGTACACTAATTACATAATTCGGACTATTGTTCTCAACTTAGTCGCCATATTTATTACAACATTTCGGAACTTCAGTATCTGTCTATATTTCTGAGATGAGGTATTATGTACACTAATTACATTATTCTGACTATTGTCCTCATCTTTGTCGACATATTTATTACAACATTTCGGAACTTCAGTATCTGTCTATATTTCTGAGATGAGGTATTATGTACACTAATTACATTATTCTGACTATTGTCCTCATCTTTGTCGACATATTTATTACAACGTTTCTGCCTTTCAGTATCTGTCTATATTTCTGAGATGAGGTATTATGTACACTATTTACATTATTCGCACTATTATCACAACGTGTCGGTCGTTGTACAATCCGGCCTTCTTCTCGGCCACAGAAATCTCCTGAGGCGACCAAGCATAGAAATGAATACAATATGTCAACCAGAAATAAGGTGTGCCGGAGAAAAGCAATAACAACAACGAAAATTGCCATATAACAACAAAATTTGCAATATGAGCACTGGTAAAAAATAGTGCTGGAGACATTAAGTTCCAGAAATTCATACACAGATGTCCTCAAGGACACATTGCACAGTGGATATAGGCGTTGGTTAGATCCTGGGACAGACCCAATACCTGGTTAAGGCGGTGGAGAACTTGGAGAAGTGAATTAACTGGAGATAACTGATAAGTGACATCCATTAGACGCGGCACGTGGAACTAGAGCAGTCTGCCGCAGTCAGCGAAATAAAAGGTTCAGTTCGACATTCCAACCACCTAAAGAAGGCTGGAGCGTACAACGGCCGAAACTTTGTGTTAATATGACAACAAAGATGAGGACAATAGTCCGAATAATGTAAATAGTGTATGTCATTAAATGTTAAATTATAATTAACAGATAAATAAATATAAGATTTTTAATTATTATCATACTATTACAAATCATAATAAATTGTTTTGGTTGTGTGTTAATAAATAAACCATGCGAAGTATTAGGTTGTCCCAAAAGTTCGTAAACACTTGCGAAAAATTGAATTTTTATACAATTTTTAATTGTTTTTTTACTTTATCGAGAATTGGCTGATGAGCTTGGAGATGGCAAATCGATAATTCACCGACACTTGAAGCAACTTGATTTTGTTCACAAAAAGCCGCGCCAAGATCCGCACGAACTCCCCGAAGCACAAGCCATTGGACGAGCGTTTTTGGAAGCGCATTGTGACATCGGACGAGAAATGGGTCTATCTGGTCCAGCACAATCGAGACAAGCGATGCGTTCAGAAAGGGCAAGAGACACCGTCGGTTCCAAAACAAGATCGATTCGGCAAGAAAGTCATGTTGTGCATTTGGTGGAACTTTGAAGGAATCGTGCATTCTGAGTTGGTTCCGAATGGTCGTGCCATCAGTGCCGAACTTTACTGTCAGCAACTGGAGCGGGTCTACGAAAAGTTGAAGCAAAAGTACCCGGCTCTGATCAACCGAAAGCGCGCTTTGATGCAGCAGGACAATGCCAAGCCACACACCGCCAGGAAGACCAAACACAAGTTTGAAGAGCTGGACGGCATTGAGGTTCTGCCACATCCAGCCTACAGTCTTGACTCCATCAGATAACGGCCTTTTCTGCTCAATGCAACACTTTCTGAGGGGCCGCCGATTCGACTCGTTTGATGAAGTCGAAGAAGCATGTCAAGAATTCTTTGATTCGAAACCGGCTGAATGGTACTTTCACCAGATCCGAAAGCTTGCAGATCAATGATTAGAAAGTCTTGGAAAATGATGGTCTTTATTTTGAGGAATAATTTTTGTTTTTGTTATTACTTGGCGAGTAAAATTTCAATTTTTTTGCAAGTGTTTACGAACTTTTGGGACAACCTAATATAATCTTCTTTTTTTTTGCGTCTTTTTTATCATTCTCCTTGAAGTGCACCGCGGGTATTTAACTGTAGATTCAAGTGCGTCGTTGGATAAAAAAAAACAAAAAACAATCAGTTAAATTCAAGAAAATGTTTAAAATTGAAATAAGGGTTACTAAAAAAAATCCATGAAGACATGGTACCGACGCTTGCTGAAGACTGCCCTTCCTATGCAACCGTGAAGAAGTGGCCTGCAGAATTCAAGCGTGACATTGATAGCACAGAAGATGCCCCACGGTCAGGTGGTTCAAAAATCTCAATCACCGGTAAACAAGTTGATGTAATTCACCGATAACAAAGAACATAGGCATTAGTTCTGGTTCGGTCCTTACTGTTTTAACTGAGATGTTGGGGATGAGCAAGCTCTCGGCAAGATGGGTTCCCAAGAATGCTGACACTGGAGCAGAAGTTAAAAAGGGCCGACTTTTCCCGGATTCTTCGGATTCGCTTCCAGACTGACCTCGACAATTTTCACCGCAGATTAGTAAATCAAGATGAAATCTGGGTTCACCACTCAAAGATTCGAAGCAAACGTGGGAAACAGTCTGGTTCTCCATCCACGAAGACGTTCAAGCAGGCAGCGTCTGTTGGCTTCTCTTTTCTTTTTTTTTTTTTTTTTAAATATTATTCTGAAGGCGTAATAATGATAGGCTACTTGGAAAAGAGATGGACTTTTAATGCCGCAGAATTAAGACAACGTAAGGAAGCAATCGAGTCGAAACGCAGAGGGATGATGAGGGCAGATCTGCTCTTGCTCCAGGATAAGGCGCCCGTTGCTGTAGTTGTAGCAGCTTAGAAAATTATTTTGGAGGACTTGGGCGGTGCGCTTAGAAAAAACCTATACACACATTTTCCTCGGGAGAGATGGAGGACGGAGAGACAAAAAATTTAATGCCAATTTTGAAGAAGGATAAGAAGAAAACGAAGAAGAATAAAACGAAGAAAAGAGAACGAAGAAGAACAAAACGAAGTAAAAAAAGAAAAATGAAGAAGACGAAGAAGAAAAACGAAGAATAAAACGATGAAAACAAAGAAGGAATCGAAGAAAAAACGAAGAAAACAAAACGAAGAAGAAAAAATGAAGGAAAAAAAATGAAGAAGACGAAGAAGAAAACAAAGAAGGAAACGTAGAAGAATAAAAAGAAAAAACAAAGAACGAAAAGAAGAAAAAAACGAAGAAGAATAAAAAGAAGGAAACAAAGAAGGAAATGAAGAAGAAAACGAAGAAAACAAAACGAAGGAAAAAAGAAAAAATGAAGAAGACGACGAAGAAAACGAAGAATAAAAAGAAGAAAACAAAGAAGGAAAAGAAGAAGAAAAAGGAAGAAGAATAAAAATAAGGAAATGAAGAAGGAAACAAAGAAGGAAACGAAGAATAAAACGAAGAAAACAAAACGAAGAAGAACAAAACGAAGGAAAAAAGAAAAAATGAAGAAGACGACGAAGAAAATGAAGAAGAATAAAAAGAAAACAAAGAAGGAAAAGAAGAAGAAAAAGGAAGAAGAATAAAAAGAAGGAAACAAAGAAGAAAACGAAGAAAATAAAAAGAAGGAAACAAAGAAAGAAAAGAAGAAGAAAACGAAGAAAAATAAAAAGAACAAAACAAAAAAGGAAACGAAGAATAAAACGAAGAAAACAAAACGAAGGAAAAAAAGAAAAAATGAATTAGAGAAGAACACGCTGAAGAAAAATGAAGATGGAGAAGAAAATGAAATAGAAGAAGAAAAAGGAAGAAGAAAATAAGAAAACGATGAAGAAGAAAAAGAAGGAGAAGAAGAAGACGAAGAATATAAAATTAATTTTTTCTTTCTTTTTTCTGATTGCTCTTTCTTCTTTTTTTATTTTGTTCTTCGTTATTTCTATTTTTCTTTTTTCCCATTTTATTTTATTTTTAATCTTGTTCTTTTTCAAGGTTTTTTCTTTCTTTTTCTTTCCCCTGTAACTTATGCATAATCTTTCGATCATTTTTTCTTTCTCTCTTTCGTTCTTTCTTGCTCCATGTTTTTTTTCGAGTATTTCTTTATTTTATTTTGTTCAATTTTCTCCTTTCTTTTTTCTTTTATCCATTTTTCACATTATTCATTTCTTTTGCCTTTCATTTAGTTTTATTTTGTTCATCATTCATTTTTTCTTCTAATGTTTATCTATCTATCTATCTATCTATCTCAGTCTGTTCCTATCTATCTATCTCAGTCTGTTCCTATCTATCTATCTATCTATCTGAGTATGCTCATATATATATGTCTACCTGTTATCTATCGATCTTATTCTGTTTCTGTCTGTCTGTCGATCTAGCTAGCTCAGTATCTATCTATCTATCTATCTATCTATCTATCTATCTCTGTCTGTTCATATCTATCTATCTATCTATCTATCTATCTATCTATCTATCTAAGTATTCTCCCTACTATATCAGTCTGTAGATCTGTCTATCTATCTATCTATCTCAGTCTGTTCGTATCTATCTATCTATCTATCTATCTATCTATCTATCTATCTATCTATCTAAGTATTCTACCTATTATCTATCGATCTTATTCTGTTTCTGTCTGTCTATCTGTCTAGCTAGCTAGCAAGCAAGCTAGCCAGCTCAGTATCTATCTATCTATCTATCTATTGCAGTCTGTAGATCTATCTATCTATCTATCTATCTATCTATCTATCTATCTCAGTCTGTTCGTATCTATCATAGTCTCTTCGTATCATCTATCTATCTATCTATCTATCTATCTATCTATCTATCTATCTCAATCTGTTTGTACCTATCTATTTATCTATCTGAGTATGCTCATATCTATCTACCTATTATCTATCTCTCTTATTCAGCTTCTATCTATTTATCTATCTAAAATTCTTTGTCCTTCTTTTTCATTCTAGCCGACCTTCGCCATTTCTTTTCCCGTATGTTAGCATTTATGCTTCATTTCTTCTTTCCATTGTATTCAATTCTTTCCTTAATCCTTTGAATTTGATTTTTCCCTCATCTGCCCGGGGATCAAGTCAAGTCGAATCCACCCTTTGGCCTGCCGGCCGTGCCGATTAAGATCTGTGTTGATCGGCTTCGACCACGTCTCGGGGATTACAAATCGACAGGTCAAACAGAAGTGACAAGTACCAAAACTCAATCTATAATAGATCAACTGATGATACATCTATTTGATATTCTTTTCTTTTCAGTTCTAACCCAGGGAAGGACAGGTTTTTGATCGCAAATCAATATTTCAGTATCTTCGTTTCCGATTTAATTCCGATTTGGGTTTTTCATTCACTTTTTATTATGATCCTAACTGCCATAATTATTTTTTTTCACTTGATTACATCATTTGTTATTTTTAAAATCATTCACTTTCTTTCCGTGTTTATTTTCTGCGAACCCATTGTCGACACCCGTAATATATACAGCCCTTGTCTTGGGACCAACCGACAGCAAGTCTCTATGGTAGCCTAGCTATGTTAGATTAGAGATACTTATTTGGATTTTGTCAAGGTAAGGCAATAAACTGCATCCGTGTCCTGGGTAAACGACAAATTACATCCGCGTCCTGGTTAAGGCGATAAACTGCAGCCGCGTCCTGGGTAAAACGATAAACTACACCTGCGTCCCGGGTAAGACGATAAACTACATCCGCGTCCTAGGTAAGACGATAAACTGCATCCGCGTCCTGGGTAAGACGATAAACTACATCGGCGTCCTGGGTAAACGATAAACTACACCTGTGTCCTGGGTAAAACGATAAACTACACCTGCTTCCTGGGTAAGACGATAAACTACATCCACGTCCTGGGTTAGACGATATACTACATCCGCGTCCTGGGTAAGACGATAAAATACACCTGCGTCCTGGGTAAGACGATAAACTTCATCCTCATCCTGGGTAAGACGATAAACTGCATCTGCGTCCTGAGTAAGACGATAAACTACACCTGCGTCCTGGGTAAGACGATAAACTGCATCCGCGTCCTGGGTAAATCGATAAACTACACCTGCGTCCTGGGTAACAAGATAAACTGCATACGCTTCTTGGGTAATAGATAAATTACATCCAGGTCCTGGGTAAGGCAATAAACTGCAACCGCGTCCTGGAAAAATGATAAACTACATCTGCGTCCTGGGTAAGACGATAAACTACACATGCGTCCTGGGTAAGACGATAAACTACACCTGCGTCCTGGGTAAGACGATAAACTACATCCGTGTCCTGGGTAAAACGATAAACTAAGGCCTCTTATCAGGAGTCTTTGATGAGCGTGGAACCACCTCTTAATTACTGGTGTTCCCAGGTCCACCCTGACCCGGGGTAGTAACACTTGTTAGGGTTCCACCTATGGGCAAATAGTTAACCCCTAAACTGGGGTCAAAACACGATAAAAGCTTAAAAATAGGTTTTAATACCAGAAATACTTTTTTTTGTAAAATATCATTATCAGCAATACATTTTAGAAAAACAATATTACCAGGTTTATATATATATATATATTAAGAAAATATTACCGGCAATAGATTTTAGAAGTAAAAAATATTACCAGCAGTCTGAAATTGTGGGCATTAAATAACCCATTGAGGTCGATATGCTGCAAAAAAAACAAACCAAGTCAGACCAGAAAGTGAGAGAAAAGACTGGTTATCGCGGTGATTGAGAAAAGGGTAAAAGTTGAAAATGGTTCAAGGCAACATAAGATGGCGGTTGACATTGCATTTAAATTTTTGAAGATTGTAGTTATTAAAGAAGCAAATAAGAAGAAGGGTGTTCCACAGTCGGGAAGTGGAAGAAAAGAGACTGTTAGAGTAGAAGTGGTGGTTACATTTAACTATTTCAATAGTAAAAAGGGTGGGACCTAGCTGCCAATCTAGTAGTACACTTAAATTCATGTAGTTGGGGAGCCAGGGAAAAAAAAAGTTCCTCAAAGAAGTCGCGATACAAATATTTGTAGAGAAGACAGAGGGAAGCCACATCACGTCTGTGAGAAAGTGACTGAAGTAGAGATAACAGGTGAGAATCATTTACATTGCAGCTTCTTCTTTAGATTTTATCGAGAACCTCGAGATGAAAAGCATAGCAAGCAGACCAGATATGGCAGCGATATTCAATGCATGGACGAATGGTGGATTTGTAGACGTGTTTGGTGGACTCTGATGAGAACAAAAAAACAAACTTCTGGCACGGCACAGTGAACTAGCTCTACCTGCAGTAGATGTAGCGATCGATTCAATGTAGTCGTCCGACTTGAAGTCAGTTGAAAACAGGAGGCCAAAAAAACGCAATGGGAAGCTCTCCTGGAGTCGAGCATAAGCCATGCTAATTGGCGGACAGGGAAGTTTCTCTATGGCCGCTAAATGAGAGCAGTTTAATTTTGGAGGTATTAAAATTATTTTGTGCGAACCCATTGTCGACATCCATATTATATACAGACTTTGTCTTGGGACCATCCGACAGCAATTCTCTATAATAGACCAGCTATGTTCCTCACTGTTCTGGCAGATCTTTTTTAATAAATTTACCCAAGCAAGGCGTGAATGCCTCTAGTACGCATGGGCTTTACAGAAAGTCGGCGTAAGAGAAAAGACTGAGTATAGGGGAAGATTTTTGAAGATTGAAGTTATCAGGGAAGCAAGTAAGAGGAAGAAACTGTTTGAGTAGAAGTGTCGGTTATATTTAACTATTTTAACAGTAAAAATGTGGGACCTAGATGCCAATCTAGTAACACGATTAAATTCATGTAGTCGGGGCACCACAATAGTTGCCATGAAAATATTTGTAGAAAAGACAGAGGGAAGCCACATCATGTCTTTGTCGAAAATGACGGAAGTCGAGACGCTAAGTCAGGATATATTACACTACATATCCTTCTTTTGATTTTCTCTATGAACTGTTCGTATCTATCTATCTAGCTAGCTAGCTCAGTCTGTATCTTTCTATCTAGCTAGCTCAGTATCTATCTATCTATCTATCTATATATATATATATATATATGTCTCTGAATATGCTCATATGTATCTATCTACATATTATCTATCGATCTCATTCTGTTTCTATCTATCTCAGTCTGTTTCTATCTATCTATCTATCTATCTATCTATCTATCTATCTATCTATCTATCTGAGTATGCTCACATACATCTATCTACCTATTATCTATCGATCTCATTCTATATCTATCTATCTATCTGTTCGTATCTATCTATCTCTCTCTCTCTATCTATCTTTTCTATCTATCTATCTATCTATCTATCTATCTATCTGATTATACTCATATATATATCTATCTACCTAATATCTATCGATCTTATTCTGTTTCTATCTATATAGCTAGCAAGCTAGCTCAGTATGTATGTATATATGTATCTATCTATCTAGAACCTCGAGATGAACAGAAGGGCAACCAGACTAGATATGGCAGCGATATTCAGACCAGATATGGCAATAGTATGTAATGCACGAACGAATAGTACATTTGTATTTGTGCAAGACGGACTCTGACGAGAAAAACTTCTAGCACGACACAGTGAACCAACGTTCCTTGCAGTAGATGCAGCTATTGATTCAATGTAGTTGTTCTACTTCAAGTCAGTTGAAAACGTGATTTCAAGAAGGCGTAGTGAGCCGGTTACTTGGAATCGAGAATCGTCCATGCAGATGGCGGGAAGGGAAGTTTCTTTATGGTCGTTAAATGAGAGCAGTTTAGTTTTGGAGGCAGTAAAATTTACAAGCCCTTCCCTGCCCCATTTAAGCACTGACTTTTCAAAAGCAGCGGCCAGGTTAATTATCTGATGTCTGACGTATTTCCTATTGAGGCACGAGTAAATAGGAACTGATGACTTCAGGAAGATCATTAATGAAGATTAGAAACAGGGTAGGCTTCAGGATAGAGGATTGCGGGCAAAATGATCCAACTCTCCATGCAATAGATGCAGCTATCGATTTAATGCAGTTGTTCCAATGCAAGTCAGTTCAAAAGATGAGGATTGTTTACTATGTATCAGTTGAATCACACCACAAATTAAAACATCGCCACAACATACTATTTTTGCAGGTTGAAAACATACTCTCTTTGCTATATCAAAACACCGCTACGACATACCCTTTTTGCTATGTTAAAACATTGCTACGACATACCCTCTTTGCCATGTTAAAACATCGCTATGACATACCCTTTTTGTTATGTTAAAAAATCACTGACATAACTTTTTGTTGAAACTTGACTAATGCATGGAATAATAATGCAACACAAAATGTACTTAGAACAAAATGTATTGAAACAAGAAAGTGTACACAATATTTACATATAGTCTTTTGTATATTCCTGGTAAGACCGTTCCTGGAGAATGTGTTGACTGAGTCGCAGTCGGGCAGAGTCTCTGGTTGAATCTCTTGATTCCTACCTCTCTTCCCGGTACCAACCATATTTATATGGTCGATACTCCACTATGCAAATTAGGTGGATCCTACCACAACACTTTTTTGCTATATTAAAACATCGCTCAGACATACCCTTTGCTATGTTAAAACATCACTGACATAACTTTTTTGCTATGTTAAAACATCGCTAAGACATACCCTCTTTGCCATGTTAAAACATGTTAAAACATCGCTACGATATACCCTCTTTGCTATGTTAAAACATCGCTAAGACAACTTTTTTGCTATGTTAAAACACCGCTACGACATACCGTATTTGACATGTTAACATATCGCTAAGACATACCCTTTTTGCTATGTTAAAACATCGCTACGACATACTGTCTTTGCTGAGTTAATAGAATGTACATATTGCCAACGTAAGATATATCATTATAATCTAGGCGGTCGGGAGTTTCGAATGAGTAATTTGTTTATTAATGCCACTAAGACGCCTGGATTATAATGACATATTTCACC